GCTCTCGCGAGAGCCCCGCGGGCCCCGCTGCGCACGCGCGGGCGGAGCCGGGCCCGCGAGCCCTCGGAAGAGGCGGGCGCGAGTCCCGTTACCCACAGGAACAACGCCCGCGGCAGCCGCAGCGCCAGCAGGTTGTATTTAAGCCCTTGCTAAATTAAATGTATGGGTTTAAAAGCCCCTTTGCCAGCGAGGGGAAGGCGTTGTTGGCAACACAAGTTGTATCCCGCACAACTGAAGCAAACGGCTTTGAGGGCCAGCTGAGGTTGGCGTTAGCTGTGGCCAGACCCCAGTCGTGGGTCCCTGACCCTGACACCCCTCCCAGCTGTTCCCCATCTTCTCCACAACTTCATAGCTGTCGTTTTGAACGGCTTGGATTTTTCTGGGGTCCAGTTTCTGATACAGTGGGAGGAGTCTCAAATTCTCTCAACTTTACAAATAGACACCACGTAGCACTATGTGAGGGACTGTCACTTATTGTTAGAAATAACAATATTGTTAGAAATAACAATAACTGTACCTGCTCCTGCCCAATTATCTCAATGAGAAAGTGACTAGAGATTGACATTATCAGCACTCTGTCATAAAGAAAAGCAGCAGAGGAGCTATTTAATACAAGGATACAGAGAGGATCCACACTTCTCTTGTCTAGATTATGTAGCTTGCTTAACAAGGTTTGGATAAGTTACAGAGTAAGTCCTCCAAGGTTCATTAAACGTTTTTGCAGCACTCTGATCAGAACTGTCTCATGGGACATCGAGTTACTCCTATTTCGCTTTGGCTGCCAAAGCTTGCTTGCGTAGAATTCTGCTCAAATACAGTGCAGACCATGCCCACAGCCATTCAGGCAGGCACTCGCCCAGCGTGAACTGTGGAGAGGCACAGGGAGACAAGAGAACAGAAAAATAATTAAAGGAAGGGACAGACTAAGATATATGCCATTAAAGTAAACAGTTTCTCAAGTGACTATTAAAGCAAGGCAAAAAGTGCTTGAATATCATCAACTAATTCAACCCCTCAGAAGCATAGATATTTAGCTATTTTGGATGTAGCACCCACAGCTGAGCAGTTAAGTTCTGCAAATAAATCCTGCATCCTTGATCTCATTAAGTTCACAACAGCAATTCTGTCCACTTCCTTTAATTGCCACATGTTGCCAGAATGCATCCTGTCTCTTCTATGCCTTTTGGACTAATCCCCACTTCTTCATTTGCATCTACTCAACCCAATGACATAGGATGCACTTGGTAGGATACGTGAGATGTGACCAATGTACATAAAACAGTCTTCCCCAAAAGTGAAAACCTTAACAAATGGAGGACCTGCTTCCAGGTAACTCAGAACAAAGATACCGCTTTTTTCCTGCTATTATTCCATCCTCCCTACCCACTCTTCCCCAAAGCACAAATATGCTCAATATATGAAGACCGAAAAATGTTATTTCCCATTTCTGCTGCACATTTCAAGGGAGAATTGGATTCACTCTCTGACCTTAAAAATAAGCATGCCCGAGTATAAGCTTCTAAAGCAGAACTAGTGGGAAGATATGGCACAATGCCTTGAAGTCAACAATACATAATGTACTTTTATGAAACATAATGAGCAGTTTTCCTTCAGATTCCTAAGAAAGTAAACAGCTGATTTACCTCCACTGACAAACAGAAAATAGTTTAATGAATTCCATTACCTGTATTGCATGCTTCCAGTAACCAGTGGTCCTTATGGATAACCCAAGAGTAGAAACAGCATGACTTGCATATTCTTCAGCAGTAGGAAAAAATACAGATCTCTTTGACATAATGCTGCTGAATGCTAGCATTTTTGTAGTAGTTACAAATGGCGTTAGACTCTGAACAAAAATTCCTTTAGAGGCATACTCATAATGTAATGCTCTACTGAAATAGTCCAAGTAGCTCTAGAAAGACAAAAGCAGAAAGAGACTTTTTTTTCTTTTTTTCTTTTTAAACAATGAAATCTCAGGGCAAAATTTTATTAAAATTACAAAAAAGTTTTAACATATTTTATGCACCAGCTCAATAAACATTACTAAATAATATAAAAATGTGATTTTCTGAAGTATTATCAACATTTCTGTATGTTGTTATTTTCTATAAACCTGCCATGGTTGAGTAACTTGCAGAACAAAGTGACTTCTTATCACTATCTGACAATTTCTGCTTTAAAATAGTACAAAAACATTTATTTCCTCTAAAATAAACACCTTATTTGGTCCGGGCGGCATTGCAAGGACACTCTACCAGCTCTACCTACTATTATCAGAAGAAGAAAATAAAGTCACATCCTTTAATATATTTAGAGGTAAATTTTGCATTCAGCTGTCTTCTCCAGAAGCCAGGTTAGTTACTTCCTGGAACTCTCTTACACAGAAAGATTCATAAATGTCTATCTGCATTACCTCCTTTAGCTCATTTTACTTTTACAGAACAAGAAAAGCACAAGGCTGATAACTGGGACTGCTGCAGTCAGACTGAAAAATGAGCCTGGCTCAGCCTTACCAGGGCAGCAACACTGATGCCTTCCCTGCTGAAGCTACTGCTGTGCCACACAGCCTGTTCTCCCTGAGAAAGAGCTTCTTAGGCTCAGCTTGTGAGCAGATATCTTTCTGCTCCCAACAAGCCTTGCAAAAGGTTTTCTCAAAAGTTTGTTGGGAAAGCATCTTGTACAAATGCTCTTACAGCTGCTTTAGGAAAGCTAAAGCAACCACTTCAAGCATTATTCACTGTTACTGCACAAAGAGGCTTAGGATGTTACAGCTTGTTCTCACTTCTGTGTTCTGAGGCCAGGCTTAAAGCTGGATTCCTGATCTAGGATTTGGGTTAATTATCTCAGCTAATTGAAGAAACTTTGGTACATTTGTGTTTCTTCTTTTTCATTCAAGCCTTTTAATTGTTTTAATTCAGAGTGCAGTTCTACATACACTTGATTAGCATAATCAAAGAGGCAGATACTCTGCACAGAAAGCGTAATCATAAGCCAGTTTCCACACTGAAGAAAGTCTGCAAGGAGTTTTACACCTTGGGGTAGTAAGAGATGGTTTTGCTCCAGGCCAAAGGAAATAAAAAAAGCTTTGTCGGGAGCAAGGCTACAACAGAGGGCAGCCACTGACAGCCAGGAGCAATAACCACTTGTTTTTAGACATTGGATCTAGGCGAGATCCTTCCACAATCTCAGTTGTTTTTGTGGATTCAATGGCATCTCATCCACTATAAATCCACCATCACCATGAGCATTTGTTCTTCCAGCATCACCCAGCTGCCCAGTCCTATTCATTACTGGCTGGATCTCTCCAGGAAGGACAATTATGGGAGAGTTCTTTTCAGTTGTCCTCAAATATGCCACAACGCTCTTAGGTATTACATGAAGCAGCAGCTTGGTTTGGCCACACTCTGTGTCACAGTGGTGGCTTGAGCATGAGTACAGCCCTTTTTGCTAACAAATACTGGCATGCAAGGGGCTTGAGGTACATGCACAGTTCAGCTGAAGAAGAGAGAGATTAAATTATTGACCCTTTCAAAGGGGCCCACAGAATTGCCTCTCTGCTTTGTGCATCTGAGAAATGCAATACTTCTCCTAGAATGACTGTTATGCCATAGTTCACACAAAATGCAAGAGCACTGACTTTAGTTCAAAGCCCAGCACTGGTGAGGATTAAGAATTTACTGCGTAATACATGTATCATTCACCTCCAATATTTAAACAAATCCCTAGAAAACATTCAAGTATTTTGACATGCTTGCTGAATGTGTTCAAAAAAACCCTCATAATAACCAAACTATAATGTACTTGCCAGTGCATGCCATTTAACATCACAACTTACTTTAGAGGCTCCATAGACTGTCAGCATCGGTGTTGGCTGACAACAGACTGCTGAAGAAAGGTTGACAATTGCCCCTTTCTTCTTCTTTACCATGCCAGGCAGCACGATATGTGTCATCATGGTAGCAGAAGCAATATTAACATGGATCAAGTCCCATAGCATATCCTCAGAGAGATTAGTAAAATAGTCTGTGTGGCTGTAAAATATTCCTACATTATTCACTAAAATCCCAATTTCTCTGTCTTTCAGAGCCTCCTTAATGGCTGGGTAAAGCTCACGCCCCTTGCTGAAATCAGCTACTATGAAATCTGTTTCCACTTTATAGGTTTCAGATATGCTCCTAGATACAGCCTCCAGCTTCTCTTTGCTTCGGCTGACTAAGATGATGTTGACACCATGCTTTGCCAGTTCTTCAGCATAAGCCTTCCCAATACCATCTGTGCTACCTGCAAGAGAAAACAGCAATAGAACACACAAGTGAAAAACAGAGCAACACCAGCCTTCTACTTTGACAGTTCTTTCAATTATACCTTTATTCTTTTTTCTGTGATCATGTGGCACTAAATATATTGAATTCAAAGACATAACAGTAAAGACAACACTGTCAACCACCTTCTGCAATTCCCTCATGGAAGTTTTATGTTTTCTATGACAACAAGAGAGAGTTCAAAGGAGAACCTTAACAAAAGGCAGGAATGTCAGATGCAGGATTCAAACCTTGCTGAAGAACTAGGGCACATATGAACACCTCATAGCAAAAAAAGGATGTTTTCTACATCTTCATCTACACTTGCAGGTAATCAAGATGTATCTTGCAAATTTGGGCAACAATTACTGTGATTCCTTCTCAGCAGTCAGTCAATTCACTTAGCTTGCCCATCTCCTGAGGAATTAACTTATAAAGGCCATGAACAACAGCCACTGCTCAGGCAGATTAACATGCAACCAGAGCTAATACAGGCCCAAGCCTGTAACATAAAGCTCACGCAGTGCCACCAGCCACCAAGTTTCACAGTACTGGCACAGTATGTTACATAAACAGAAACAAATTTACCCCTTCATCTCTTACCTGTGACCACAGCCCATTTCCCGTACTTCCTGACGAGATCAACCTTCCCACTCAGCCTTGGAATAACGTGCAGCCTGAGTGCACTGTAAGTGTCCAACGCCAGAGACACACACTTTCTGACTGTGTACCAAGCTCCAACAATAGCCAGGGCTTCTATATAGAAACTGCAGGTGCGACTGATTTCTCTGTACAAGAGAGAGAATCGATCCACTGCAGCCATGGTGACCACAAGCCTGAAACAAACAAAAAAATAAAAATTAAACAAATTTAGAAAAAGACACATGCAATTACAATTGCCTCTTGGGCCACGTAAACTTTTCAGACCGTATGGATAACCTTTGAGATTCAGCATTTTACAGTTTGAGAACTGTTTTGAAGCAGAAAAACCACAAGTAAGTCTGCTACAATTTGGGTGTCACCTACCATCATCCTCACTGATTTAGGTACTGTTTATCCCTTTTCCTAGGGTTGAACTATTAATCAGTTATACTGCAACAACTATAATCAATGATGCTGTAAATAAAACAATTCAAGCAGATGCTGAACAGGTGAAAACCCATTTTGGAAGACGAGAAACTACCTACAAGAGAGGCAAGGATAACCAGCACGAGAGAGCTGAGACACAAAGAACCAATGGGCTCTTTCAAGGACGAAAAGCAAGACGAGAGACAAAGCAGTCTCAGAGACAGAACGCCAGTCCCCAGCGCTGTCAAAAGCATCGCATCTACGCTGTCCTTGACCCATGGCACAGCGCAGCAAATCAAGCACATCGCGCTTGCTGTGCCTCACAGCTTTTACTACTTAATACACGTTTTAACATGCACAAATCCGTTCTCTCTTAGGCAGGACCCGACGCGCCGCCCGGCACCGCTGCGCCCCGCCCGCCCCTCGCCCGGGGCGGGACAGCGG